AGGAGAGGCACACCCCGCATTGTGTGTCGGTGTTTATGCTGTGTTGTCGTGTTCTGTTTGGTCCGGCAGCAAATAATAATCATCGTTGAGCTTTTTGGGCTCGAGAGAGAGAGAAAATCTAGAGCTGGGTGTTGTAGTGTGTGCGTGTTGTGTGTTTGTGGGTGTGGGAGGAAATAGTAATTTTTTTTTCTTGTGTGTAGAGCAGAAGTGAAGGAGGGGAGTTTGGGAAGAAAAGCTGAAGCAGCTCTTGAGTGAAGGGGAAAAGAGAAGACCTCAGTTCGGTATTTATAGAGGACTGGTTTTCCCGCTGAGATTGAAGTTAGTTCTCTAGCTACACTACTCCCTACTCTACTTCGATATACTTGCCTAGCCTACATTGCCTAGCGTGCCTCCTCTTTAAGCACTACCACTGCATACTCCACCAGTCCATCTTCACGATCGAAGACTATCTACTGCCACTACTGCACGACCACTACTCTACTCTTAATACCTAATCACAAATGGCTGCAAGACTCATCAAAGAAGACCACCTTCTCCGCAAAGACCGTCTCAAGCGCGCTGGTCCGCTCCCCGTCCCGTCTTGGTCGTATTCTAAACTCACTAACCTTTTTTTGTTCTATTAGAGGATGCCCGCCAGACACTCACGGCAGAGTTCCACAGTCTGGGAGCATCGGTGGATATTGAGCTGCGGGACCGCATCACGAATATCCACTCCAATGCGTCAGCGCTCGAGAATCAGAGCAAGACGTTGAGAAATAGGACTAGTGCGTTGGGGAAGACTACCAGGCAATGGGGAGGGTTGGCAGATGGGGCGAGGACGAAGTTAAAGGTTTGTTACCTCTCTATCTCTTCTTGGTTGTGAGTAAGTGCTGATAGGATGTGAATATAGGAGATTGGTGATATACAGAACTGGGCGGAGATGATTGAGCATGATCTGTTGCTGATTGAGGAGACACTGAGAATTGTGCATGAGGATGATCTGTCGGATGATAGTCAGATGCAGTAGTTGTCTTTGTGCTGTTCTTAGCTGTTCTGTATTGTTCTATGCTGTTGTGTTTGCTTTTGCTGATTGTGCTGTTCTGTTTGTGTATTCTTTCGGGTGGTTTATTCCAGTACTTGCTGTTTTTTTTCCTTTTGATTTGCCGTTTTTCTGTTTTATTCCTTATTCCCTATCTCACTACTTCCTCATCTCTAATTTTGCAACGACACGACACGAAACATATTGTATTGTACATGTCACGAACTTCCCGCCTGTTTGTCTTATCCACCATAGTCCGTTCAAAAAGAATGTTTGTTTGCCCCCACCATCATCATCAGATGACGTTGTAAACTTCCCCATCTGGAGCCTGCTACCATTGGTTCGCTTGTCTGACTTGTCTTGTCTTGCCTATGTAGTCCCTGCGTAAGAGATGTGAGTGCGTTGTTTGTGCATGGTGCTGGTCTGTGCGGCCCATGCCATAGTGTTTCACTAGTGGTTCCTTTTTCTTTTTTTGTTTTGGTAGATGGCAGATGGTATGCGGACTCCCGAGGTAGGTCGGGAAGAGGAAGGGATGGGGGATCTGTGGCGGTAGAGATGATAGCTGCATGCGTGATTGGGTAGTGTCAAGTGAAAGGCGATGAAGTGAGGAACTGGTGGGGGTGGGGTGGGTGGGGTAATGGGGTAGGTACGGAGTTAGGGGGGACGGGATTTGGGGATATGGCTTCGTGGCTAGAAAAAAATGAAAATAGTCATTGGCTGTTTTGTTTCTATAAATCCTCATCACTTTGCTGGACTGGGCTGGGCTATCGGTTAGGTGAGAAGTTACTTAGAGTATGGAATAGGGCTTTTACGCGCGAGGGCGAGGGGGGAGGTTAGGGTGAGTGAGTTAAACAACCTGCGTAGCTAATATGGTATATGCATGATGCATCTACACTATATTCAAACACGCTCATGCAAACCAAACTAATCAAAAGACATGATGTCTCAACTACTATTAAGCACAGTAAGTACAAATTATAAACTACCATCTCCCACCAAACCTCGAGAGTGATATATCATGACTGCATCTCATCTCTCACGGATTAAGACTTCTATATATTCGAAAACGAGCAACCACTGCGCCCTCCCTCCCCAGTTACAATCAAGATTGGAAAACTCCGCGTGTTTTAACCAGACCCAGATCCTACCCCACTCTAACTCATAACCCTGGTCTCATGCCTCCATCCCATCACATCCACACTGCAGGTAGCCGCACAGGGATCTATCTGCACCAGCTATTGACCGGGTAGATGCCATCAATATTATGTATATCCATAGATGTATGCGGACCTGACTGGCTATAGTGGTGCTGGGTGTAGTGGTGTAAGTGGGGGTGTCGAGTGACTCTGTGTGATGGGATGCGTTCTTTCATAAGCTGTCACTCGGTTGGTGGTGGTGGTGGGCTGGATTGGAATTTTTTGTGGGTCGGGGTTTATATTTACCAGAATGTACAGATCTCAATCTTGTACTGTTATGCACTTAAAGCTTGATTAGCGAGTTCTTGTTCTGTGAATATAGGTGTAGAGGACACAAAAAATGAGTCATCCATCAGCTTGTTTTTTCTCTCTATGAACTATAGAGGTAGAAGAAGATAGACATTCAATCCCCCCTCTTCTAGACGACTAACTTCATATCACCCTCCTCCTGACAACCCGCCACCGCTCCAACTCTCGCACGATACCGCAGCCAGAATGTTGATTCCAGTATGAACGTTTATTTGCTCCCCTTATCACACTACGAGCAGTGCCAATCCTTTTGGACAGGACCCGGCTCTTTCAATCCGCATATTCATTCAACCCCGCAGCGCCACCAAGACAAGCGGCAGTTCTACCCTAAAGAGCCGGTATAAACAATGTCTTAGAACATGTCTTAGTAGGCGCAACATCGAGTGACGGGGTGTGATTTGTTCATGCATCATCACTCGGGTGTTGCTGTGGTAAGCGTGACTTCCAGGGTTGGAGTGATGCCGCTAGTATGGGGAGTAGAGAATAGAGTATTGGGAAATTATAAGGCAGCCAATTAGGAGCGCTCTTGGCTCTTGCTACCATGTAGTGTTGCTAGTTTAGCACCGAGCAGGCCATACTCGAAACCGCTCGCCCCCTTTCCCCATTCCATGCATCCCACATACCCACATACCCACCTCCCGATCCTCTGGAGTAACTACTAGCAGAGAGGAGATCAGATCCACACGCTCCTCTAGCCATTTTACTTTTAGAAACCAGCTTTATGTTCAAGAAAGGAATCATTTATAAAACCGTGCTCCCAAACCCAGGTGTAAGACAACAGGAAATACTTGGGCTCACAACAGAAGACGACCTACCGAAGAGTAGATGTACAGATCCGGATCTACATCTACAACACTAGATGCGATGCATACAGACCGCTGACTATCCCCCCCCCCCCCCCCAAATCCCAACCCCGACAAAAGAACAGAAGCCGATAAAGAATGCAATAAGAACAGAAGAGGAAAGAGGTAGAGAGGAGGTGCAAGACGAGATGAAAGAAGAAGAGTATAGAGAAGAGAGAGGGAAGTTGAAAGCAACACCTAAAACCTAAACCTAAGCCCATCACAGAACAGAAAAGAAACACAAATATCTCCCCCCATAGTTTATGAAACGAACCGACGTTGAAAGAAGGAGGGGAAAAAAAGACAGCCACCGGTCTAAAAATTCAAAATTTTTTTAACGGCCTCCCTGCCCTTCTTTCCCGGCTGCGTGCCCGTCGTGCCCGCATTCACCGTGACTGCCGCCTCCATATTATTCTTTTTGCGGGTAAAACTTGGCTCGGGCCTGCTGGGCTTTGGTGGCCACTGATCGTCGCGCTTCCAGCCTTCAACGAGTGCACCGCAGAGATGCCTCAAATTGATGGGAATGGGGGGCTGTGCGCCGCCTAGGCAGACCTTTGTGTAGATCTGGTCGTAGGATGCTGGGCCAATGAGGGCGTGGAGCGGGTTCTATCTGCTTGTTAGTCGGGGTTTAGCTAGCGGGGTACGAATTGGGGTGGTACGTCTTTAAAACGACTCTCGCAGACTCGTACTTCACCATCCTCAGTGGCCTCAGTCCACGCATCGCGACGGTGGGTCCAGAGCTTTAGCCCAAAATTCCACTCCATATCCGCCTCCAGTGCCTGGCGATGGTGCTCTTTGATCTTGTCGGGGGTAGGGACATCGTCAGGGCTCTCCCACATGTACTCATCTTCCTTCTTATCCGTGGACCTCATGTCGATCTCGAAGTCGCTATCGTCTTCGCGGGGGACCCAGACACCCTCGCGCTGCTGCTGATTCTTCTTCTTGGGTTTACGTTTCTTATCGACAGGCGGTGGAGTGGTCGCACGACGGTAGCTGCTGCTGCGGCCGACACCCCCGAGGGTGGCACCCCCGCCATTAGCACCAGCAGGACGAGAGTAGTGACGGGGGTCGTCGTCATCGTCATCATCATCGTCGTCGTCGTCCATATCCATATCCATGTCCGAGTCGTCGTCCTCGTCAGTGACCTCCTGTGCAGAGAGCCCGCTTGGTCGCCAGGCGCCCAGACTCCCCTCTCGTCGACCGACATCGAGAAGCTTTGTCTTCTTGGGAGGGAGGCTGTATTCCCAGCCGACAGCGACGTCGTCAAGAATGGCCTTTGCGGATTGGAGAGCCTGGTTGCGTTGTTCCTTGCTGAGCATTTCGCCTGTGGAGCCGCTCCCGAGGCGACGCCGAGTTGTAGGCATGGCAGGCATCTCGTCGCTCGAGAAGCAGGAGCGTGGGAGAAACGTGGTGGTGGATTTTGGGGGGGCCGTTGTGAAAGATGTTGTAGCGGACAGAGCCGTTGGGCTAGGCTTGGTTTTGTTTGGGGTTGGGACGTTGATACAAAAAAAGAGAAAAAAGAAAAAAACGAAGCTAGCTGGTCTAATGATCTAGTGACGAGCTGTGATGGATACTGAGAGAGAAACACACGAGAGGGATCCGGAGATGATGATGATGATGATGATGATGATGAAGATGAAGATGAAGATGATGAAGAAGAAGAAGAAGAAGAAGAAGAAGAAGAAGAAAAAGAAGAAGAAGAAGTGGGGTGCTCGGGAGAAGAAGGAAGAGAAAGCAGTGAACAGGAGGAGTGAAAGAGAGGAAGAGAGGATTACGATCGATAGAGAGCTCTCTCTATATTAATCTGAAACGTGGTTTTCCCATGCCGCTGCCAATGCAAGAGCGGATTTACCCCACATTTCAGCCGCCTGCGCTTTTTACACACTTGTATCATTTTTCTTTTCTTTTCGCTGCTCACATCGCACCTTTTCTTTGGCTGCTCACCTCACCTCACCTCTCACCACCACCCCTCTTCCCTCCCAGCCAGCCCCCCGACCCAGCAATGGGTTCTCGTGAGATGGCGGATCTTGTTCTTTTTCTCCCGCAATGCTTCTGCTGCCCAGCCACCCACCCCCCCCCCCCCTCTCTCCAATCCTGCGCCCCGGGTATGCATCGATTGATACCCGCTCCCGAAAGAAAAGAAAAGAAAAGAAACCTGTAAAAATAATTCCCCAAGCATCCTTCCTGGTCGGTGGGGTCATGCCTCGGTCTTGACTGTGGCAAAACTCCATCTAATGACGTTTCAATTCTCCGACGTCCCCGAGATGCAGTCGACAATTCTCGCTTGACGTCGTCGCAATCCAGGGCCCGCACCGGCTAATAAATTGGTCTGTGCACGTGATAGCGGATAAGGCTGAACCCTGTGGCGAGAGGGAAAAAAAAAGCTTAAGTGCTTTTAGCGCGCCTGCCAATATAAAAACGGAAGTTTACAGAGTTTATCTTCACCTCCATAATAACTTTTTGGCAATTGAGGAGGTTTCTCTGATCAGGTAAAGTGGGCAATTCAAAAACAGGGATGGGCTGCCGGGTGGATTAAGTGCAGTGCGAGCCAGTTGAAGTTGAACCTGAGCTCATGACCTTGGTTTAACGCGACCGGTGTTGTACACTAGTTTTTGGGAAACTAATGCACGTGGCTCTACTGTTCCATCGATGCCCTATCAAAATGCAGATGAATCGAGTCCTCTAGAACTACCGCATTGGGCGCAGAATCCTCCCGGTCTCCCGGGTGCGATGGTAATCACAGCATTCTCCCTATAGTGCAGCTACCGAAGTGGATAAATGGGTCATTATGCGCAAAATACAAGTCCAACGCAGCATTCAGAGAACCTGTTTTCATCTGATAGACCCTGTAAATTGACTTGTAAGACTCCACTCGCTCGCAGGGCTAATCTGGAGAGGTGGTCTGGGTGGGGCTGTATTGAAAGAAAAATTCGAGTGATATTCTCTGCAACGTTTAAAAGCATATATGAGCATATGCAATGTATTATTAGTCTTGTTTATCCGCTGATAGATGTCTGACATGATATTCACAAGTATATCTTTACAGCTTACAAGGGAAACACATCAATATCGCACTAGACGTAGCTAATTCTGCGAATCCTCCTTTGTTATTCGTGCAATGGAATTTTGAAACCACTCATAGATTCAAGTCACAGGCCATCACTAATCACCAATACTAGAAGTATTGGCGTTGCCCGTGTACTTGACAATCGACATTCTAGGAAGATTTAGATCCTCGCTGTTCCTCCGCCCAGTCTTGCAAAACAAACTGTAAGGCCCCTTTGTTCATCGAGGCCTCTTTGACGGACTCCCATTCATACCCTCTAACAGATCGAAACATCATTGGAAGGTTTTTAAGAGCGATCTTTCCGATCAAAGCCGGATGGTCCTTACAAGTCTCCTCAAGGAGAACCATTGGAAATAGTAGGTTTTCTTCTGAAATCATTGATAGAAATTTTTCTTTGGTGCAAAAACGCACACAGCCTAGAATATTTGGCTGGTCATCGTTGGCATGGGCCACACCTAGGAGTTTCATGATATCAGGGCATTCAGCCTTGTATCTTGCGAGGGCTTCAATGGGTCCAGACTCGTACCAATCAGAAAGAAAACACATCCTTGGTGGGCAAATAGCAGTTTGAATTGGCATCGCTTTTGTACGTTCCCAATCGAAAAGGTGTCCTGAAATTATGATATTATGCCGAGATATGTCAGGATATTGAAGAATAAAAGGGCCATATTCGTAACGTGAACTGAATAGCTCATACAGCATAGCTTTCATTTGCCAAAGAGCTACGAACTCGTCGATTCCACGCACAAAACTGTGATTGAGAAGATGACGATAGTATGCAGTGATAGAGTCAAGAGACCTGATCGAGCTAATCGGTGGGAAGTGCCTGTCTCCTGGTGGAACATTAAAGGCTGCCACGATTGAGTGAGTGAATGGTTTGCATCTATCATAAATGCAGGGACGGATGCCAAATTCCGCCTTAGTTGTCCTGATTTTACGAGAGTTGGGTCCCTTCTTGATTTGCCAAAAGAACGAATTAAGCGTCAAGTATCCGCATGCAGATAATGGATGTTCAGCCAATTCCATCCGATACATCATAATCTGTTTCCAGGTCTTCACAATTTTAGTAAGAGAACTCCAAAAATCATAGATAACCAATTAACAATAAAGACGAATCGGTTAGCGGCATACCATCAATCGTAAGTCGCTCGAGTCATTCGAAATCAGGGGCTCCTTCAAGGAATTGTCCAACTGCAACCAAGAGGGAGTACCCCCAAGATCCCCCAATAGGATGAATGGCCACCCAACCCTATTTCCAGTAATAGATTTCCAGCTATTGCTCTGTAGATCTGGCGATTCAATTTTTATTTTGGTTTCACCCCCTGATGCTAGCGTATAGCGTACATCATAGGCATATATCTGAGGTGCCGGAACCCTTGTATGTTGGTTGAGAAAACGCAGGGTAGCACATTCACTTTCCATTAATAACTCTCTTTCAGAACTATTGTAAGTCTTGAGAGGTTTATAGGGGAGCATCTTGTGATTGAAGTCTGTTGGAAACTTAGCTACCCAGATTTCTTCCTCTTCTTTTTCGTTCTCGTAGATCTTGTCCAAGATCCCACCAGCCATTTCACGAGCAGGACAGCTGTTGCTTTCTTGAAATTCTTCCAAAGGTTTATCATCGGGCGATGATAAATAAACCTCACCCCTAACAGGTTGAAAACGTAAGAACACAATCTCACTCCATGAGCTTGACATAGAGAGAGTTGAGCAAGTAAGAGTAGGGCCACTCTCATCAATGACGCACTCGATCTGACGTCCGTGGCCATCAACACTTCCATGAATAGAAAGAGCAAATTCACAAAGAGCTTCTCGATTGATATTCATAAGAGTAAGCTTTCTCCGGAGACGCTTCTCACAGGAGTCATGGTGCTCAGTGGCCTCTTCTGGTGTCCAGCAGTTGTTGTCGATTCCAAATTCATCGATGACCACGGGGAATTGAGGGTTCACCCTCCACAATGTGCCATCGATGATGAACTATTCCGTCTAAATTACCGTCGTGAAATCACTAGAAGAGAAAGAGATGAGACTTACCTTGAAGTAAATTTTACCAGCATGTTTATATTCTCCCATGAAGAGCAAGAATTCACCATCTGGTTGACGATTAAGTTCGATCCCAGGCTGACTCCAATCAGATGAGGCAAATGTCACATGTACAGTTTTTGCATCACAGTCAGGCCTAAAAGGTGGTTTAGATCATCTTTTATAATCTTCTTGAGAATCGGGTATAAATACCAACTGACAGCCAAACGAGAAAGACCTCCCCATTGAGGCGGAGATTCCATGTTGATGATTTTATGAGATTTTTTGTGTTATCTTAGATGTATCGTAGAGGAGAATGAGTGGGGAATTTATGTCCGATGATGAAGCGTTCTGAACAGATTACACTTATATACTCCGGATAGTGCCTTAGTTCCAATAACTTCACCACCACTGTATAATTTGTCCCCAACAACGAACTGGAAAAGATATACGTACACATCGGGGGAAAGTTTAAATTAAGAGAAGTTCATGTGTCGTCATACCATACAGTCGTCATTAAGAGATGTACATATATGTACATGGTTTATTATCATACGTCTCCTTCATCAATACAGGTCATACTTATTCATATGTATCCCGCTCTTAGTGACAAACCAGGGGATTCTTGGAGAAATGAGTGATCAGCTAAAAGGGAGTGGTCAGACAGATTTAACGAAAGAAACCGTCTTGTACTAGCTTAAAAACACTTTTCCTAAAGATAATCAAATAAGAAAGAAAAACAGACTAGAAATATCTGTACTCATATTTCCTTGAATCAAAGAGATTCATTCTCTACCAATAAACATTTTACAGGCGATTAAAGCTACGTAATTTCGGGTTTCAGGTAAAATTATATCGAGTGATATCCCATGAATAAAATATAATCTTTCAAGTTCCTTCAGCTTCAGATATAAGCTAATGAAAGACCCTGAGCTAACCCGTCTCAATGCTTCTATTGATAGTAATACGCCAGAATGTAGATCTACCGGATAGATCTCCATGAATTGCCGCAGCACTTAGATCAGTGTATATTTAAACTCCCACCTGACCCTCGCGCCATGCATGCAAGTCGCCCCCTCTCTTTTCATTCCGCGGCGTACATAATTTATGAGTGGAACCTTAATGAAAGTAATTTCTTTTTATAACGATATATCTCTATAATAAGAACTAGTGTCACGTAGTAGTGCGAGTAGTAAACGTGGCCATCTAGTAAGATGATGATTGAATTTAAATCGACGCACTTCGATACCGTGATCTTCTTTATCAAAAAATTCCCCGCCCTAAAACACGATAAACCAAGATAAACATCTATAATACATCTCTAAGTCAACGTGCAGTAATCTCTCCCCCTCGAATATTGATATGAACATAGATAATGTTCTAATACGATACTAATAAACCCGGCCACACAAATCCCGCCTGAATCACTGACAGTAACAGCACCGAGAGAAAACTCCCTCTCATCCGCTGGTACCTCATCAGTGATTTCCGCAAAGGTGTTGACATACACCATTCCGCCTAGCAGTCCTTCCCAAAATATGACCAGAAACACAAGCCATATGTTAGGGATGAAGTTGTACATTGCATGGAGTACCAAAAAAACTAGGTTCACACATTGTAGAAGTGCGGGCGGATAGAGCTGGCGAAAACGTATAAATGGAGTCGAGGATCGGGAGATAAAGACGCCTGTTTGATAAATCGTATTGTACATTGGGTAGGCGTCACGGTACGCCTTGAATGGCATTTCAGCAAGTGGGAAAAGAAGCGTAGGTGCGACACCTAGATTAATGGTGTACTCGGCAATATAGACAAGAAGAAGAGGTAGCATGCTGTTTCAAGAGTTAAATTTGGATCCCATTAGGTTGTATAGTTGACCATACGCCGTAATTTGGACGGTTTCCGAGCTAGAGAGTGGATGGGACCTACTAGGGAAAGAATAGATGTTTCGTCTTCTCAAAGTTGGCTCTAAAGCCCTTCCATGCTGCCGTTGCATGGTCTAATAAACCTTTCTCTTCGTGAGGGCTATTCACAGCAGAAAAAACAAGCCCGCTAGCAGAATGGACTGATGTCGCTAACAGTGCAACATCAGCATCATCCGTTTCTTGAGCAATGCGAGTCTCTTCGCTATCCATAGCAACATCAGCACCCTCGACAATTGGTTCATATCCGTCCCATTTCTGGCCTTTGATCATGTCTAGTGGTAGAATCATAAAGAATGCGAGAAGCATGACGATCGGTAGGAACCCAAATGCCATCAAACTTTCCCTTATACCCCATCCGACCCAGCTTGTCGCGAAAACATACAGCCCTGCGCCCAGCAATCCTGCAGCACCTGTCCCAGAGGACCAGAAAGGCACAGCGAACCGACCGTAGAAATGTGTAAGGCCCAGAAATGATAGCTCCCCTCCGCCAGACGAGATCGATGCTAGAACAACGCCAAAAAGCCTAGCTGGGAGCGATTCACCCCATGCAACGATTTGCATACCCACGAAGGCGAGCATGACGAGTATCGGGATCCGAATCCGGTAGGGGATTAGGTGGATGTAGTAGGGAGCTGTTAATTTGGTGATAAAAGAGGGTCCGACATCTGCAAGGAGAACTATGGCCTTTGGTAGACTGGGACCAACGAGATCAAGAGCTGCTGAGAGGATGATGACATATAGGACATTGTTAATGCAACCTGCGCGCAACAGGGAGTTTAGTTGAGACGGATTCTAAAGCAGCTGGAATCAGGAAGAGCCTCGTGAGAGATGACGCCATTGTTTACAGTGAGAGGGCGATGATGAAGCAATGGAAATGGAGATATGAACATTAAAGGAAGAGAAAGAGCAGGACCGGGAGGGGCAGACCAAATAGCCAAAAGGCTACACAAACTCGAGGGTTGGCGCCAATGAAGGCGGCCCTAATCCGGGATTTGTAGACTGCAAGACTGGATGAGGGGGCTCCAGGAACGGGTAACGAGAAGGATGACATCTGTGAGGCTCTGGATGACGATGACGCTGCTACTCCTCCTCGGGGCGGAGGTGTGTCTTCCATCGAGAGAGCTCGAGACAAGACAAGACTCTTGGTGAAAGAACGGATAGGAAGATAAAGCTCACTCAAGCTTAAGCTTAAGGGTGAGGAATGGAAGGGAAGGATAGTCAAGCTCTTTACTCCCAAATGTGCAGAAAGCTTTGAAGGGGGGGACGAAGAGAGACACAGTGCAGCTGTTGCCCTTGGTCGCCCTTGCACAAGACCCACCGATAACCGCACACACACACTCTGCCTGATTTACGCACGGTGCTGTCATCCATGAACCCTTCCTCCCTTCCCCTCCCCTGTCTCACCCCAGAGGTCAGCAGCCGCCCAGGTAAAAATAATAAATAAAAAACCGCGCGATGGATGTCGGTCTGCCGAAAAGGTTTCACGATAGGTGCGCAAAGTCCACAACCAATTAATTCTTATTATTTACATAAGTATGTACCGCCTACACTAGATTGCAAGCTACACCAGATACCAATACAGCCAGCCAGCCAGTCGGTCGGTCGGTCGGTCAGTCAGTCAGTCAGTCAGTCAGTCAGTCTGAACCAGAGCATCCATCCCACGACGGCCACACGCAGTTAATCCCCCCCGGCCCTCCAAGCTGCTCTTCTTGCTCTTCGTGATACATACCCCATGCAGCAGCACAAAGCAGCAGTCACCTCTTGGCACTCTACGTAATCTGCACGATACGATAAGTAAAGCAATAAGAAAGAGGTGATGGCTGCAGAGGCTGCAGGCGGAGATCGGCACTCGACTGGATGATGGAGAGGGACAGCGAAGAGAAACCAACGCCAGGGCCACAGCCGTGTTAGAGATGCTCGTTCGGGAAGGGCCTGAGAAGGTGTGGGGTCGCCCTAAAAGCCGTTTGCTGCGAATGCACTATGGCCTTGGCAAAAACAGGGCCCCCCAGCAAGCGACAGCTCCCTCTTCGGGGGTATTGGGGCCTGCCAGGGTTCGTGTTGCGGGCGTGGGAAACTCCATGGGCGACATGGTTCATGGGCAAGTGAGCCATGTATTATTATTGTTCTGTATGTACCACATACACATACTACAATCTGCTAAGACACGGCGCAGACAAATCGCATGAAAGCAGCGCGACAAATAATCTCTAACGGAAGAGTTTCCTGGGTCCCGTACATGCGTAGTAGAGTTGTTTAGTGTATGTACTTATCACACGCCAGTGGTACTACAGTGAGAGGAGCGACGGCAGCGGAAGTGAGGAGGAGGGGAGAAGGAGAGGGAAGGAGGAAGAGAGGGGGAGGGGGAAGAGTGAGGGAGAAGAATTAAAAGATGAAGAAGGAAGATCTATATGTAGTAGTGAGGAAAGGAATGGTTGGTGGTAGTAATAGTACTCTATCTAGTAGCAGGAGATGTAGGGAAGGACCGTCCACGGCAGAGTCCGCCGCCCTTGCTCATAATCCCTCCATCAATCAATCGCTTGATCTCTCCGAGAGCCAGCTCACCACCGCATTCTGCCTTCTCCCTCCTCATACTCCTCCTCCCTGGTGTGTGCATCTGTCTCGTGCGTGTAGTCGGCAGGTGTTGGTCTCCCACCCCCCAATCCATCGTCCTTTCTCACCCATCCTCACTCACGCTCCTCCTCCGCCACTCCTACCCAGCATAGAATCGAGATCTTCCACCATCTCGCTCTGCTGCCGTCTGCCTGCTTTCCCCTACTGCTTCTCTGCATCTCGGTCACCATCGGGGAGATTTTTTTCCCTCCTTCCTCCTCCTCCTCCTCCCTTCCATCCTTCTATTTCCCTTCTCCTGGAGTTTCGTTTGAGTTTTTTCTTTTGAATTTTTTTATTCCTTTTTTACGAACCCCTTCCTTCACGGTTTTTTACGCCCTCCTGATCGTCCCGTATATCTGCCCATCCCGTTGTTGCTACCGCGGATCGCGTTTTCATCACCACCCGTAAATCCCAATGGACCACCGCCATCACCACCCGCTCGGTGGCCCTCCCGGTCCTCCAACAAGCCTTCCTCCTCGCGCTCCTCAAGGCCATCATGACGACCGCGATCGCTCTATTTCCTCAGGCCCTCCCAAACGATCGAGAATGGACACACGTACTCCTCCAAATGGCGACATCTACTCCCATTCACACCTTCAACAGCAACAACACATGCACGCTGGTATTCCGAGGCAGTATAAGGAGGTTTCAAGGTCGCCAGAGATGGAGAGAATGAACGGGCCTGGTGCATACAGAAATGCTCCTCCTCCTCCTCCTCCCCCGCCGGGCCACCCGTCTCATTCATCTCAGCAGCAACGTCACGGTTAGCATTATTCTTTTCCTATTATTATCATTCCTAGTAGATTTCCCTTATCCCTTTCTCTCTCTTCCCCCACCCTTTTTTTTATTTACTTTTGTATTTTCGTTTGTGTGTGTGGGGTTACACGACGAAGACTTGTTCGTCATTACCATACTCGGGATTTCGCACTTCCAGTAACTTTAAGCCGGCAGTGTCTTCTCTAGGAAAGATAAGCCGTGTGCTGCGTGCCTGTTGCTTCGGGACCTGAGTGGCTGACCGTCACTATCTGAACAGAATCGGTACCTCAAAGCAACGCAATTCATCCTGTGAGTCGCAGTTCGGGATTCATGCCACCCCCTAGAACATCAACGCCAGAAACGCATCAACGAGTATCTTCTGTTCACAGCTCGCCGCGTATTTTCCGAGGTTCGTAATTGTGATGCCTTCCCCCCGCTTGAACCCGGTCTAGTTCCTTAGCATGCCAGGGCGCGCTAAGCCATAAATGTCAATTCACGCTAAGAACTAACCGATCCCGCATTTTAAACTTTTAGCACCCCCTCCTCCTCCACCACTTCCTCCGCAAGAATCAATGATGCAGCAATCACTTCAGCAGCAACATGTTCAGCAACAGCATCATCGCAACATGCTACCACCGAATTCACCCCATCACGTCCTAGCGCCTCCGCCGCAGCAGCCGCAACAGCGACCGCCTCCTCCCAATCACCACCACCCTTCAGGTCCGCCGCCGTTCGTCCAGGTACCGTCTGACGGTCCTAGGCGAGACTTACCATCACTATCTAGTCTATCCAACAGTCGACCGAGCATGTCTATCTCTTCAATGCTCGGATCGAGTGATCCCCCAGCACCCCCTTCACATGCCCCTCACACTCACCCTCACCCATCACCCATCAACACCCACTCATTACCACCATCCTCTTCAAGGCCTTCGGATTTCTCGCCGTTAAAGCGACCATATACTCCTGATCTCAACGGTGTCCCAGGTAATGATAGGGACAAGCAGGTTAATAGCAGCTCTGCAAGCCCGAGCACCGGAAACGCCCCTTTGCCAAGTTTTACAGGCCCGAAATCGAATCGCGCCACACCACACGAGCATGTCTACCGTGCGCATCAACAATTGCAATACCACTCACTCGGCCATAATCGCGACCGAGAGCAGCAGCAAGTTGACATCATGGGCCCCCAGGGACCACCACCACCACAGCGACAAATGTCGCAACCTGTGACAAATAGTCAGAGTATATCCAGCGTGCTCCACGATGAACCACCGCCACCACAAAGACCACAATTAACGAGCTCCGACTCTTACCAGGACCGAATGAGGAAATACGATTGGCAGCAAATGGAAGAGCGCCAGAGGGAAGAGGAGATGAGGCTACGGGAGCACAGAGAGCGTGAACAGAGGGAGCGTGAGCATAGGGAACGGGAGAGAGACCGAGAGCATAGGGACAGGGAAGCCAAGGAAAATAGAGAAAGAGCAAGGATAAGGGAGAGGACAGAACGAGTTCCCATTGGGCAGCAGCAACAAATGTTTGGCCGGGAGCATAGGCATGAACATCAACACCAGCACCAGCCGCCCCAAACTTCTAGCTCGCACTTGTCGTACCCCATGACACCTACTTCAAGAATGATGGCTGGTCAGGATGCTATACCTGGCCCTCCGCCAGTTTCAGCAATTTCTACTTCCTCAACCATGGCAATGCCGCAGACTTCAACTTCCGGAACAGGTGGACTAGGGGCAACCCCGGCTCCACTACCGACGGCTACAACAACGGGACGGGAAGGATTCCAGCCATTTACGGCATATACTACTCCAATGCCCCCAAGTCCATTTGCCATCACCAATCTTCCTGTGTTACCTCCTGTGGTAGAAGGGGGCCGAGATAGCAGACGGCAAGGGTTTCCTGTAGGAGGTCCGTCTTTTGGAAGGGATGAGCCAGCAAGAGCAGAGGACGCTTTGAGGGGAGGTCTGAGCAGGCAATCCAGCGGACTAGCAGATGAGGACAGAAGACGGAGAGAGAAAGATAGGGACAACTTAATGAGAGAACGAGATGGGCCTCAAAGGATGAATGGGCCCAGTCTCGGTGACCAGACGCAACAAAAGAGAGTGGGTATGGGAATCCAGAATATGGAAATGGTCAGCATGACGCAAAAATGGAGCGAGGATTTCCAAAAAGGGTTAATGGAGAACAATAGAGAAAGAGAGAGAGAAGAAGCTGGGAAGATTAGTCTAGGGCTGGGCAAGCGGGAGAGGGAGAGAGACGAAGAGGAAGCCGCCAAAGAGAAGAAGAAGAAACATCATCATCACCATAATCATAATCACCATTCCCACGTGCAGTATGTTTCCTTTTCCCTTCTTGTGTTTGATCGTATGGCGTGGCTCGTTCTAAGGCTAACTAAAAAGAAATATTAGTGCTGGCATGGTTCATCATCACCACAAAGCGGAAGAAGAAGTAGGTGCTCCTAATCTCGAAGTACCAGTTTCAAGGGTTGGCGCACGCTCGAAATCACCAAACAGCCTCGCACACATGCATCACCCTCACATGCACCACCCTCACCATACGCCTATAATCCACCACCATCACAATGCATCCGCTTCCACAAGTGCTGCTGTACCTCCACCGAAAGTCAAAACTAGCCTTCTCATAGATTCAACTAAGGTGATGGCCTCCTTATCAAAGCCCCGCAATTTCCTTGGTTCGGTAATATACCACCCAACTGCAACCCCTAAGCAGGGCTACTCTGTCACGCACACATTGTTGCCAAGATTCGAAGGAAAGGAGAATAGTATTTTCCAAGTCCGAATCCCACGGCGATACTTGAGTGAGCAGCAGAGAAAGGAGGTTCATAGACGCAGATGTGTCTGGGGGACGGAAGTTTATACCGATGACTCAGATGTCATGGCTGCCTTGATCCATCTTGGAAAAATTCCAGGTGTGATGCCACCAGATGTGGACCCTGCATGGGTAGCGGAATATGGTGCTAGAAAGATCACTACAAACGGTCAAACTAGCGCATCTCCACGATCTCCTCTTGTTCCTTCTCCAACCAAGAAGAAGGTTAATGGAGCTGGCGGTAAAGCTGAGAAGCAACAAGTGCAGGATATCCCGGTGATCCCAGCCGGAAAGGATCTCATCGTTAACCTCTTGATCCTCCCTACATTGGAAAGATATACAGGTTCTACCTGTAACGGACTTAAGTCCCGTAGCTGGGGTACTATTCATGACGGCATGAGTTATTCCGTATGGGATATTGAATGGGTTGAAGCGGGCGAGGCGGAAGCTCGGGGAGGTGGAAGTAAGAAACGGCGACTCGACGAAAGAGATTTCGTTCGGCGATGGGGTGAATTGCCCCTGAGTCGCGGCGGTATGGGGAACAATGGGTGGAGTAAGAATAGATGGACCGTTAGTGGAGATGGTAGGGGGGGGGGTAGTAAAGGCAAGGTAGCAGAAGTCGGAGCATAACGATGTTTACTATGATAGGGTCTCCATATCCTCACAAAGAAGGGAACAAGAAATATAATGGAGTGGGATGAAACCCACAGAAAGAATACCTTTTTCCTTTCCACTTTCTTTGTGTTTTAACATGTCGGCTTTTTGTTTTATTTCTCACTGTCTGGGAGGCATGCGCTCGGGGTTGGTTGGCTGTTTGTCTATCTTTTATTCTTCTTTTTATTAAAAAAGGAAAAGAAACATAAGCACTGTTTATTTATTATCCATCTTTCTTCTATTAGTATATCCCTTTTGCTTTTGACGATATATCTTTCTATCTAGCGAGCGGGACGGCGGAAAAATTGGGCAGGTTTTTTTATTGCTATTTTTATTTTTTCACCTTTACTGTTTTTTATTGTGACGACTCTCTTCTCATTTTCGTTTCGAGCAAGAAAAAAAGCCTGTGATTGTGTTTTTTTTTTTATTTTTGATGGGAAGATGATTTAGTATTTTATCGACGAATCTACCAAAAAAATTTAGTTTTTTTCTTTTCTTTTTCTGTCTTCTTGATCTTTCTTGCTATTCATCATGCTAAACAAAAAAAAATCCAAGCTCAAAAAGCTGGTGGCGAGCCCTTGCTCAACAGACACAGGCGAGAGCCTATTTCGGAGCTTTGATCATGTCTTGCCCATCATCCATCACCACCGCCGGCTCCCGCCAGAGATTCAAATGGGTTGCGTTCCGTTCGGGTCTCCCCACCAAAATAGAGTCTTGCACCTATTTCAGTATCTTCCCGAGCTAGCCTGCAGCACGGTATCTTCCTTCCTTCCTTCCTTCTTCTTCCTTCCTTCACTGCCCACGTTCGGGCCTGGTGTTTCAGAGCTCCGGCCGGGAAGTCGAGACCGGCGCAATCTCGCACCCTCATCCGAGAGGCTGGTTGTCGGGGTGATCGTATCTTACTTATGTATGGTTGGTCTGCCCGCCATATGCAGAAGAGCTTGGTGGAGAGGGGTGTGTAAGACAGACAGACAGATAGAGTAGAGTAGACAGGATCAGGACGTGCATGGAAAACCAAGACCTTGAGTGTTTAGTCTGGGTAGGGCATATCGGCCCATCGGGACCACCTGCATGGGGGGGCGTAAGCGAATGTCTGGGCGCTCGGGAGGATGCATGGATGGATGGTTTTCCTGTTTCGAAACACTGACATTGGTGCCGGTGGGTCGGTGGATTCTGTTTCTGCTTTGAGAGAGAGGGGGGTTGTGTGTGACTGCTGTTTGGAAAAAGGCTTTTTTTTTCCTATTCTGCTGTTGTCCAATGGAAGATGGAGTATATCTTCCCGGCGCGATACATGAAGTGTAAATAAAAGGGTCCTGCATTGTGAGGTGGCCGGCGCGGCAGCTGATGCTTCGCTCGGATCTTGTAATGTCATCAGTTATCACTCGTGGGGTTGTTTGGTTAGAACAGCATGTTTCAACGAAATGCTCACAGCCACCCCGCTCTTGATTTTTGTATAAGAACCGCAGGATGCCCACCGCTTTGCGGGTAAACCCCTCATGATAAACGCCATCTGACCACTTCTATACCGGCTGTCAACATGGCTATACCTTCCCCATCTTGAAGCATTAAACACTAACGTTTACTCGTAATCATAACAGCAACTCTTCCCAACAATCGGGCATGAATGGATTAACGCTAGGGAAAGTATTGGTGATGGATACAAGTCTGTTTCAATTTACAGGGGGTAGATAAAAGATTTACAAAAGAATATAAGGCCAGGGGGTTACTACATGTACCCACGGGCAGTCGTTACAAAAGAAAAGAAAAAAGAATTTTACATGCACAACCCTAAAAGATTATCGAGGAAACCAAGAAAAGAGCTACGAGGAAAAACAAGACGTTAGTCATCTTGCGACATTTGGCAATTATCAGAGTACCAGGGGTATACCTTGCCCTAATCCTGATATTCCCATCAAGTCCTCTATTTTGTGGCACAGCAAGTATTTTAGAGCGGGAAAATAGTAGTAGGTGGTTGCAGCCGTTTAATTTCTAGGTAGACACTTTGCAACATGCTTCCTGTGATTTTTATCGCCCTTGCAAACCTTCCCGCAGCCAGAACATTCCCGGTCGTTTTTACCGTGCCCAGTCTATGAAGAAGAAGACTGTTAATACCCACCCACCATCGTCCAAAAACCCCGGAGAAAGAAACCTTCGCACATACTTCATTATGGTATTTCAAAGCCTGCTTCGACTTGAACTTTTTCGTGCAACCCTCGACCGAGCATCGCCACCTCTGCCGCACAGCAGGCATCGACGGCAGACTATGGATCTCTGCTGTCTGCGAGAAGTACGGGTTCGAAAAGTACCCACCGACCATGCTGATGCTCTCCGTATCAACCATGGCCCCATTATCAAAATGTCCGGAGATGCATCCGGTATCTGGCATCATCATGACGTCTTCGTATCTACCCTCTGGGGAGAGATGCCCCGGTACCGGTACTCCAGCTTTCAAGGCGGCAATGGCAAACTTTCTCCGGAACTTTTCACGGTCATCGTATTCTTGTAGAGCTACGCCGGGAGTGACTTCGGGCGACTGGGGGTATGGGGGCCATTTGTATGTGTGTTGCGGGTTTGTGGCGGTGCCACCTAGGTTCTGCACGTGCATTCCCCAGAACTCCTCGGAATTCATACGGTTTAATGGAACGGTATATCTAGGTTTGCTAGCGTATATTGTTAAAATTTTGTCCTGGGGATCTGGGTATAGGGTAAGGGCTTATTAAATACAGTTGTTTCAGATGATAGGCGCCCAACAAAGCGGGCTGGAGATGAGGAGTTGATGGCTGAGGGTAGATATATGTTGGAGGGGGTGATGGAAGGATATTGGTATCGACGGGACGATGTTGCAAGTATCACCCTAGAACCGACTTTGGGCTTTGGGGATAGGTGCTTGAGTTTGGGAAATAGTTTTTGATATTGAACGGTTGATAGAACAGAGATAGATTGAGATGAAAAGGTGGGGAGGTAGGTCTATAGCATTTTGTGTGAGCCATCATCCTATGCATTTCACCCCAAGCGATGCGATATCCCGAAGCGAATATTGTATTAGGGGTGATTATGATAATTACCGAAGCTTAGAGATGGCTCCTAATACTGATATTCTTGATGATGGGTGAAAGGGGATAATTGGATGGATGAAGTTGAGTTTCGGGCGATGAGTCGAGAGGTGAGGTGAGAGCTTAGGTTGTTAGCGGAGCAGCAGAGAGCACGCCAGAGGGAAGTGGTTTCTCGAGTCTAGAACCTTCGGAGCAACCAACAAAAACCAAAATTAAATTTTTTATATTTGCTAGCCGACCGGATGAGGAATGTTTATGATAATGGAAAACAGATAAACAATTTTAAAAACATGTCAGACTCGTACATTGAGGACTGCAGCTTGTTATTTGTGGCAGAGATAGATGTAAGAAAAGATCATTACCCCCGGCGGGGATGAACCCTAACCCACTGATTGTCATGACCCCCCCCCCCCCCCAATGCATAACAGCTCAAACTTTATTACCACACTGTTGTTGGCCGGTGATAATCACTCGGTATATATAGGCAAAAAATGGTCATTAATATAGGTAATTGACCTGACGTGGCCCGGTCACCTCCGGATTTATCCGTGCACCATTCAGAGAAGACCGTAGTACGGCGGATCCGGAGGAGGTAAGTAGCTCAGGTACGAATTGGTTGTCGAAATATCATCCTCCACGAAATCGCAACGCGGGGTATTCGGGGGACATGTGACTTTTTTAATTTTGAGTAAACAGTCCCTACATCATCAGCAAGCAGCACAGCACACACAGCTATCCCCCCCCAATTGATTATCTTTGAACTAACAGTGCAGAGTTGCGGGTTTAAATAACGATAGACCGGTTATCCCCTGGATGTATGAGACATTGGTAAAATCTCTCTCATGCATGAACGTCATGTGACCTTGAATTTGGGTGAGAAAACGTCCAGGTAAGCAGCTTGCTGCCTTTGTCGGTCTTTGGAATACTTAACGGTGCCATAAAGTTCGCAGTTCGCTGCCTTACCTCAATCATTTCCTGGATAGGCCACGCTAATGCATGAGAGATTTTACCAATGTCTCATACATCCAGGGGATACGCAAACAAACCATGATCACCATCGTGATATAATACCTAATCATTTCAATATTCAGATGACTCTTCGGAAACCCGGTCGTGTAGCACAAAAGAAAAGGAAAAAAAAACCAACAGATCTGTGCCCCGGCCCGAATGTAAATGATGTCTTATCTTATCTATGTAAGTTATCGATAACCAAGATGAAATTTATCCTTGCACATGCACAAATCCCATGGTCCATCGAGCTCTAAAAGTGAAGGATATTCGTGTTACATTCCACTCGGCTAGCGGCGGCGGCAAGTAGTGTTGTCGAGTGATATCGTGTGAGGAAACAGCCTGTTAGATTTAAGATGTATGTAGTAAGCTCGTGGGTATTATTATTCGACACAAATATGTGTAGTTTGCGCGAGTAGGGAGTCGACTCATGTGGGGAGTAAAGTAATTAGGCGGCAGTATCTGCTTGTTTTATAACCAGCAGCTATTCAAGAGCGATTCACGTATCTAGCCTACAGGCTTCTACCTAGGGACCTTTAATTTATGGGTTGTGGTTTTGAGCCCTATATGATATTGGTGGCATCGAGGGTGGTTTTGGGGTTTTGGTGCAGTTTAATATCAAACTACAGTGTAATAGGCTCGATCCCGGCTTCTATTATATGATGTGATTGCTGCGTAGCACCGGCATCTATGATCTACCAGGCTACATGGCCGTAGGGAAAGGCCGTATCGCAAGTAATCCTATGAGATTTGGAGTGCTAGTGCTACTAAATATATGAACTCGCTGAAGTCAAATCTAGGTATGTATCGAAGCTTTTCTCCATAAATATACATGGATCTAGCTAGTACGTATGTGGAATTTACTCCAATCATTCAAGCACATAGCCAATGCAAATATCTGCGAGACCATGCCTTTTATAGTCCAGAACTCATTATCTGGCCGCTCACGGAGGACATACAGAGTTATCATGTAGATACCACCTCCGAGAGAGAACGCCATAATTCTAAGTACCCCTCAATCTTCTGAAACTGGCTCCGGTCTGTTCGAGAACAATAGCTTCCACTCGACGATATCCACGATCTCTAACTCCTCACCCACCCACTCTCCATTACCCGCGTCTTTCTCCCTTCGATTCCTTCGCCTAATGACTCCCAACGGTTTAGGTAGCTTCTTCAATGTACCCGTAAGTCGCTGATGTTTCCCCACGTATAGATATACACGTTGTGACTTGGAGTTATTTTTCTTGTCGTTTTCGGTCATAATGTCTGGAAAGACAAGACGCCCGACTGGTGTCTCGTGTGAGATTGAGTGGTCGATTTCCATGTTGTCCCCAGTTCTTTCTTCTTCTTCTAGTGGGGCTGAGGGGGCTGGCATGTTGATTGTTCCCTGGATTTCGAGCAGTGCCAGCCCGGAGGGTGTTTGAAGGAGTTGCGGAAGTGGGTTTTGTTCAGGGGTTTCGTGTGGGGTTGATGGTGTAGGATGAAGGGGGATCGATGGCATTTTAATTGGTAGGTTATGGAATAAAGTGCCTGTGTAGTGGGTAGTGATTATCTATGCAGTCGTGCTAAATGAAAAGTAGAATGTGCAATGTTGGTTTAATGATACAGATGGATGTCAGATACGTAGCTTGGAGGGACGCGCAGAAGTTGTGCCAAGACATCACCGGAACGTGTAAATTAGTGTCACCTGATTCGAGGTTTGTAGTGATAAAACGTGTATTTACTTATCCGTATGTACATTTATGTACTCACATCAGTAGCTATACCAACCAATAATTACATCTAACTCGAAAATAGGTTTCTCAATCCAAAAAACTCCTAAAAAAACAGATTTTCTAACGTCCGCGATGCCCTTGCGCGATTCCTTCCACGAACACCATCACTATGGGGCGCTCCCCTCCCTTCATACTCCCAGATACTGGGATCAACACTAAAACCAACCTCTTCAAACATCTCAGTTCGACAGGCCATCTTCACTAAATTTTCGACTGTCCTTGAAAACTCTCTCTTTTGTACCTCGATACCTTCTCGTTCTCCATAGATAACTGGCGGAATCACTTCCGATCTTTTCGCACCACGCACTACAAACCACGACCCTCCATAACTGTGCCATTCTTTTGAAAACGAGTTTTTGAGTAGAACAATGTACTCTTTGTGAGCGGCCCGATACCGCCCCTCAAACGTTTGGTTTACCCGTACATCGGTTGGAATCTGCGTCTCGCGATTTTCGATTAGGTCTCTTACATATCCAGAGTATTTAATCAAAAAGCTTGCGCAGTCGTATGCAACTTCGGAAAGATTTTTCATAGAGTCGACTTCAGGTGCTGACAGCCAATCGACAAGTTGAATGATTCCGCCGAGAGAGTTAAAAATGATTGTGAGTGAGCCTAATACCGAAGGCAATAAAATTTCCGAAGGCTGTGTTATATTAACTTCAGGACTTCACTTGATTATATTTCAAATGCTAAATAGGCGTTTACCTTAAGAAATCTGACACCCAATCTCATCCCCTCAAGGAGAGATGTTAACATTGAGAGCACCGATATTATGCAAGGGTAAAATGTTGAGTCAATGTCTTCTCGCATCATTAAAATAGTTTTTTCTAGAGCCATCAGGACAGGAATTGCTAGAATCCATCCACATGGCTCACAAAAAATGCATTCCACGTAAGCGGGAAAGATGACTCCGATAAAAAATGCTCTTAATGTAGGTTTGTTCTGATCTCCATTTTCAAAACTTCCTGAAAGTGCAGCCGTAAGTTGACCCACCAGATATTTCTGCTCGCCATCAACAGCTGCTCTTTCAAAAACTGACTGAATGAAAGAAGTAAGTTGTTTTTGACCCCTTTGATTATGAAGCTTTAATCCGTAGTTTTTGAGTTTACCAACGACGTACGTGGGATCTGTTGCGGGAAGCGGAAAAAACTCAGGGTTAACGAAAAACACATCAACACTAATGAGGTCAATGGTGTGCTGCTGCAAGTATCCTATGACAGTTTGCACAAACTCGACATAAGCACCAGACGTTGCCTTCGTTTGCAACTCCTAGAAAGAGGTAAGAATATTGACGATGAAACACAAAAGAAGAGATTACCTGATAGTTATCTTTCATCGATTTCATCATGGATTGAAGCATCCTTGAGTATTCTTGTTTGATTGAATTTCCCTTTATTGGTGACTCGTCACGAGTCACCTCATAAGACTTTCTCATATTCGCCAGTACCGCTGCAGGAAATTAGTTCAAACTCCAAAAATGGTTTCGGACTATTCTTACATGATATGAGGGATAGCCTGCGGAAGCGGAAATCACTTTGAGAAATGCTAAACTGTTTGCTAGATTCATCCCGTACGAAGGGGAGGTTTTCAAAGATAGGGTTGCGAGGATCGCAATTGAGAAGGGTTGCAGTATATGTGTTCTGAAATTTAAGCATAGATTCTCGTTCCACCAAAGTCTTAAACCAGAAAGAAAGAAATGCTTCTTTGTTTAGTTCGTATGTATCTGGCCCGGCTTGTATGACCTTTGTCATAAAATAAGATGTAAACTTTCGAGTTTGTTCGGTATCACGAAGATGTGCCCATGATTCATGACTATAGGTATTGAGATAAACACCCCACTCCTAAACTATTGTTAGCGTGATTCCCCCTCCCTAAAAGGTGTTTTAGCAAGCAACCTTGAACCCAGTTTGTACAAGAAATCCGATTACAAGTACCCAGGTATCAATGACTTCTACAAGCAAGGTTTCTTCCGGCTGTTTATCTGCACCAAAGCAATTGGAAAGCATCTGTCGAAGAGAGTCATAAATGGTATCGGAAAGATGCTATACGAGTTAGCACAGGGAATAAAAGTCGATCCACCAATGCTTTACCTTTCCGGCATCTTTTTTTGCATCCTGGACAACCAGATCGTCGAAGCCTGACCAATCCCCATAGTCTTGGCTATCTTCATCGACCTGAGACGTGGATGGCGGTAAATCATCATTTTTCTTGCAGGAATACACATACTGTTTCACAACATGAAGAACTGCAATAACTAGTTTGTGTGATAAGCGATTGTGAGAATGCAGTATACTCGATATCGATACTGATAAAATTAGTTTTTTTTCTTTCAATCTGAGGAAGGTGCTTGCACATGCCTTTGCTTAGAATCCTGACAACACTCTCAACATTACCAGCCATTTCTGAAAGTGCGGTATTTAAGCGTTCGAATGCATTGACTAAAATGTCTTCTAACTGTTTTTGATTGCGTCGAATATTTACTTCCAGCAAATCTTCCGATATGTCGTTGCCTTTCTCCTTAGAAGCTTTGAAAATCTTCTCGGCTTCACTCCGTGCTGCGTTATGTTGACTTAATATTTGACTAACAATCTCATCAAACCACTGAACAAAAGGTTCCAATCCATTTATGTTCTCCCCGCTATGTAATTTAAAACGAAGTAGGTTTGACCAAGTTCGGACGCTAACATCACAGGCTCCCAGATGACTCGTTTCCGGATCAACCAGGTTGATAATTGCATCCAAAGGAGGCCTGCAATCTGGCGGAGCCGCCCAATAAAGCGTTGCGAGAAGATCGTGGTGATTCCTCAAAGCATTTAGGTGCTCTATACGAAGCTTTTCTTCTTTTGGGTACTGCCGTCTGTGATTTGGCATAAGTCTGATGACCATGTTGCTAATCTTTTTTATAGTGAATTCTGAATTTGATGTGGTTTTTATCGTATCAATACCCAGTGCAATCGTCTTTAACAGAAGATGGAAGCAACGATCCGAATCTTGAATAGCTAATGATGGGGCCTTTTCAAGGTCTTGAAGAAATCCCACAGATCCGTATCCTTTTTCATTTTTGAGGTTGGCTAACTGGCTGCTCGCGAAGAATTGATAAAGAGTAGGAATTATGAGGTCTGGATTCGCCCAGCCCCACGAACTGATTAAGTGATAACATCTCGAGTATAAAATACGACAATAATCAATGATGGTACCGGAATGGCCTTCGGGATTTTCGTGATAAATTTTAAGAGGCCGAGTGACTAGCGTCTTGATTAAAGACCAGTTCTCCAGAGGACTGTCATTTGGCGGCTGTTTTATGAATCCTAGGTGGTCGAATTGGTGCAGCGGAAGGGAAGTAAAAATAATACGCCAAATATGTTCGAATGATCGGATATCCAATGACTTTTCAATTTCAGTAAGTCGTGATTCGTGGTTGAAAAGTTGCCAGAACCCGATATCTAAAGCCCTTGCTTGGTTCAAAATTTGAATGGAAATAACCCATGCCTCTACAATATAATATCCTTGATCAATGCCTCTCTCGTGCTTATTTCTCTGCCTCTGATCCTCATAACATGCTCTGACATCGTCCAACCCACATTTTAAAAGCTGTCCGAGAAGATATTGGCCCGCTTTTCGCATTGACTTCTCAATTTCAAGTCTAGTCCTGACCTCTTCATCCGCTGGTGCAAGCTGATATATTTGAAACTTGAACACCAGATTGAATGCTAATAGCTGGACTGTTAGACGAGTTGACGCATTTTTTGAGCTAGAATAAGGATTTCCCCCAAACGTTGTCAAGACACGATCACAACAATCATCGAGAGCTTGCAGAATCCTTTGCCCGAACGATATTAGGTCGATGGAATCCGAGAAATTGATAAAGCTAGCAAGATAATTTGAAAAAAATTGCGAGAAAGAATACACCTGAGCGGCAAGAAAATTGATTTCAGCCCCACCTAGATCATTGGCGCCTTGTGTTTTCTCAGCAGAATCTGCGATCTGATTCATGATTATTTCAAATTCTGCTGCAATAGAGTCTTGATATAGCCCCCAATGCAGTATTTTATCTCCAAATGTGAAACTAATACCTGGGTTACTCCGCCCTTCTTTGATTGGGGCAGTATTCAAGGCTCTGGACAATCCTCCATCTCCAATAAATGTATGACTATTGAAGAATGTTCCTGGCTTTAAAGGCATGGTATCGAAATTGAGCGAGTATCTATTGCCATACTTCAATAAACCTCCATACTTCAATAAACCTTGAAGTACAGGCTTGATAGTCATAGGCAATTCGTCTGGAGGATAATATTCCACATCCTCGAGGATGATATCCTGAGGTGGGGGTTGCCGACGTTCAATTATATCAACATCAACTCTTTTCGCTATGCGTTTCCGACGTGCTCTTGGAATAGGTCTAGGCGGCATAGTTGTTTCCGAGGGAGAATCGGTCGAGTCATCATGGATTATTGGCGTTCTATGTGGCCTAGAGTCAAATAAATAGCTTTCCTCCATAAACTGCGAATTCCTCTGCGCTAGGTTTTGTAGCAGTAGAGTTAGATCAGGAGTAGCGGCTCTTCGAGGGACCTGATGTAGTCTCCTGAGTGTATAATTCATGGGTTTCTCGATTTCATACTGGGCGGGTTGAGGTGTGAATCTCGGCGCATGAGTCGTAAACACGCTCCAGCCTGATACGGACGTGATAGGATTGACGTGAGATTTTGGCAGAGGGCGGGTAGAAACAAGCTTCCGAGACACCGGCCCTCTCCGTACAACATTCAATAGTGTGCTTTGTCGACCTCCTTGTCTTCTTGGCTGTGAGCGTTTAAAGGTACGTGGAGGTTTGGGTAACCTCTCTGGTGAGTGTACTTGCACGTCACCAAGATCTTGAGGAGACGCTAATCTTAATTGATGACTTGATGTTTGGTTCTCAGAGTTCCTTCCCCGGTGGTTGTAGCTATTAGTCTGCGCGACACAATCTAAAGTTCCCTCTCTCCAATCACGTAGAACAGATTGTATGTCTCTCGTGTCTGTTTCTGTTTCCAAAAAGAACAACTTCCTTGATGGGCTTTGTCGACCCTGGTCCCTCCTTTTTCTAACCTCCCTTTCTGCAATCTTTATGAATAAGGGAAGTGCAGTAGAAGTGGTAGCTCGATAGTATTGTGCTGCATCTAAGATTCCTAGCTTTGGAGCTGCTGATCTCTTAGCTCTTGTGGACCTGCCATTCTTCGATGAAATATGGTCTGTTATCTTTGGTTGGCGAAGGCGGGTGAAATTGTTTCCCCGTTTTGAAGCTGAAATTGTATCTCTATCATGGCTCATGCCAGTAGCCTTATGAGAAGCATTACTCCTCACTTGGCGCCTCCCTCCCTTTGTTTGCCTAGTACCTCTTCTAGGAATTCCAGGAAGCATTCGATCAATTCTGTCATCCTCAACAACATCATCAAAGTCAATACCGTCACTTCTCGGCGTACTTCTTTCTCCAGTAGACCTTTTTGCCGGAATCGAAGCCAATATTAGTGGCTCATCACTGGAAGTGTCTGGATCACTGTGCCCCACAGAGAAAACGTCTGAATCTGGGGGCCGCGCTCTGGAAGAAATTTTGGCTCTCGCGACTCCCGGCCTTGGTATGCCACCTGATGCTGGGGGTGTAGCGCCTCTTGCACTACGCCTGGTACTAGACCCGCCCATTTGTTGGTCTTTATTAAGCTTCCACCAAGACGCCGGAAGTACACCAGTGGTTTTCCGTTGGAATTTCCGGATCAATTGCGACTCGTCTTCCTCATCTTCCTCATCTTGCTCCTCACTATCCTCAAAGTCCTCCTCCACTACCACCTCACCCACCCCCCCCTCTTCCTCTTCCTCTTCCTCCTCCTCCTCCTCCGCGAATTCCGTTTCAGAAGATGAGTTCAGGGGGGAAGAGAGGAGGTTAATAGGTGATGCTTGAGCTGCCGAGACCGCCTGAGATAATTCATTCTGTTGACCAAGATCAGATTCGGATTCGGACTCGGAGTCGGAATCCATCCCAGCAAATAATCCCTGTAATTTGTCTTTAGACTTCGTTATATTAGTGGACCATTTATGGAAGCTTCGAGTAGTATGATTAGACGATTTCTGCTCTAGAGGATTTCTGGAGATTATCTGGGGAGATGAGTCTATAGGCATATCGTAAATATCGGAGTCTCTGGAACTTCCATCTACTCTAGCTCTAGCTAAAGACCGAGGATTCTCTTTCCTCTGATCCGAATTTACAGTATCTTGTTTGGATTTCGGGACGGAGCTTCGTTTAGAGTACGTGTGGGCTACTTTTCTTCGTTTCGCTTCACCTGGCAAAGAGTTATTCGATCCCATTTGACCTCTGGGGGTATCTGTGCCTGAAAGTAGACTATGTCCCTCGTCCCCCTCATTATAAAGGTATACCTCGTCCTCAATCACACGTTTAGACTGATTAACGGGCTCCGGAGGTGCCACATAATCGTTTTCCTGGGAATCCTTGCTCGCCCCTTGTGCGCCCCTCGGCTCTTTGTCAATATCTTGTATTCTCAAAGGTTTTACGCCACGAGATTGAAGTGTCTGACGGTAACGCTCCCCTTCTATTAGATAGGGATTTTTTTGTATTGGCTTCCGCTCCCGAAAATTTCGAACAGGGGCACTCCACTGTTGATGATCGTTATTGACGCTTGGGACTGCAATGTGAAATGCAGTTGTCAATGTAGCCATTTTTTGCGACATTAACGAGGGTCTCGGTGTAACAGTGTCGGTGGAAGACACAGAGGAGAGCGGCGAAGAATTTATCATCGAGGAACTATCAATTGTCGGGCCTGATTGCCTGAACTCTTGTCTTATAGGGGTAGAGGGTCCCCAGGCCTCTTCAGATAGCATTGGATGGTCTTCGTCCTGATATTGTAGGAAGGTCTTCCCGTTCTTTGTGGCTTGCTCTGGGGGATAAGGGCACTCCCGTGGTAGAATCTCAACGCCCTAACCAGAAATTATAAGCGTCTATCCTGAGATCAAACCCTAGTCTACTAACCTGGGGGGACATAATTCTCTCGTCATGTGTAATCCTGGGAATTCCTAAAATACTGTTTCTATCTTCCCTAGTTCTGACCAACTGTACCTGATCCTCCTGCTCCTCCGGTATTTCAGGCTGGTTACTTATATCCACTATCGTAACCGCCTTATCGATTTCATTCCCCCTTATATCCACTCCATTTAATTGTATTTCCGAGTCTTCATGTTGACTAATTTGACCAGTTATATGTGCGCTTTGCGCAGAATCTTTTTTGTTGGGTAGAACCCCGAGGATTTGATCTATATCAATGTACCCTTCACGGGTGGTATCGTTTTTAACCGTATCCTAAGAAAATTAATCCCTTTACCTTTCCCGACAATTTGTGATGAAATGTTACCTTTATTGAGTGCCCGAGGCGAGATGTAGTTGAATCTGTTACTGAACCAGCCGCAGCTATTTCATTTCCCCTCTCTTCAGTCTTGTTCACCACCTGTACTTCGTTGCCAAACTCTTCCCCGTCATCCTGTGTTGACAAAGCTGTATCCGAATCTTCGTCGTCTGAGTTTGGCACGAAACCCAATTCACGCCAGTTCGTCATATCATTTCTTGATTCTGGAAAGTCGAGTTAATTGTAATAAAATTGAGTGGTAGTGGTTGTAATGGTGTGAGATCTTGGTTCTTTGCGCGGTTAGACCCATCTCTCGCGTGTCGTTGGACAGAAGACGCGTTTCAATTAATTAACGCGTGTCACCCGGATAAAAACTATAGTAAAACAATTCTATAAAGTTATTAAATAAGTGTCAGAAGCAATTACAAGGCCTTTGACTATTTTTCTCATTGTACAAAAAAATTTCATATATTTTAAAACCGAAGACCACAGTACTTCATGTAAATTGTATGTTTGCTGTGACACGGGATGATGTCGCTAACGTTAAGATAAGGTTTCCACGGTGCTGATGGCTACAACGGGCACTAAGCTTTATCCAGTGTAGTCTGTGTCGCATCATAGAGCAACATCAGTTTCAACTCTCCGTCTTATAACAACTTAATAACTGCTATTGTTCAAGAAAACAAATCAACAAGCCTTCCCACCAAGATGAGGGGAAATTCATCCTTACTTCCGGTAGGGTTTGCGATTGCCTTTGGTATCATTAACGGTATATATCCCGGAAACATCGCTTGATTGAATGTTCTCGCACTTACAACTGGGTGCAGGGTACTCAATATTTCAACCTCTCGTTGTCGAGGAGCGTTTGAAGACCCTTCAAGAGAAGTACGTAAACATTTCTCAAGGTCATAAAGCGTTTAAGGAGCCTAACAAGTGTATTTCATTATGAACAGAGGTGCTTCCGAAGCAGTATCTTCGATGGCATCACAAGAAAAGAAAACCGAGGCGGTCCAAATCGCAAACGCCAACGAGAGAGCGGCCAAAACAGTGCTACAAAGGCTAAAGACAGAAGAAAAGCCTGCGAGTAACTAATGCACGCCATTTTCAAGAAGTGCTCAATAGAGTTTGGAAGGGGGGGGGGGGGGGGATAAGAGGAGCATATTTTTAATTTTCAGCATGGGCTTCAATCAGCACCCGTACATAGATATATCTCTACACCCGATTTTGGCATAGTGTTAGAACCTCAATAATAGGTGTTTTGGATGCTCGTCAACTTCCAGCCGAGTAGTGTATAAGTTTGGGTACCAATAAAGGGAATTGCATGATATCAGATGTATATTACGCTCTGTCATGATTTGTGATGTGCTTTATGTCTTTCGTCTCCGCCCTTTCGGGACCTTGAACGATGCTGAACTTTGTACTCTTCGTCCTCTCTTGGCGACGCCGAACGACGTTGGTCCTTACATTGTCTTGGATTTCGGCTTCGACTCCTAGTTCGTCCATCGCTCTTGGCCCCCTCATAATCGTGTCTTCGTCTTCTACCTCGACCGCGATCCTTAGATCTAGATCGATGCCCAGTCCTCTTTGCTTCGCCTCTGTTCTTGTCTCTGCTTTTCCCACTTTTTTTCTGATCGCCGTCCTGGATATACTGTAGTTTGGTGGCGCACTGATCACAAACCCGGACCTTCACAAGTGCACTCTTCTTTTCGAGTTTCTCAACATATTCAAATAACAACTCGAATCCCCTCAATCTTTTCCTGTCGTTTGAAACGACTTTAGACACGTCCGGATCTTCGTCTGGATCTTCATCCAATGTACTCTCCTCGTTTCGGCACGATAGATTTGCGCACAAGAATTGCCCTTTTCCTGCCAGTACCTCCTCCTTCGTTCGCCACCTCATCGCAATCTTCCCAACAAAAATAATCAGCTTGAATCATCGACTGGAGGATCCACAAAACCCACCTGTTTTTCCTTCCATCTCGCTAGTTCCACAACTGCAAACTCTCTGTACAGCTTTTGATAATAGCTCCTAGCCAGTCTTTTCTCCTCATCCATTTCTTCGCTTTCGTTATCATTTTCCTGGATGAATTGATGGTGTTCTTCTATGATGTCCCTTTCACTACGCGCCTTTTCCGGCACGACAATCTGGCCTCCATAATAGCGGAGGTAACTGTTTGCTGCATGAAGGTGCCGCGCGTAGGCTGATGTTGGGCCGCCTGATTGTGAGAAAACGCGGTTGGTTGAATTTTGGGCTGAGGAGGGCGTAGCTGTAGCAAACGGATTGATGCGAGCGGACATGGTAAAGGAGGTTGTTTACATCCGCACAAAAGAACCATTGAAATCTGGAGAGAGGTTGGTTGTGTGGTCTGTGCATCCGGAGCCTCAGGCGACCATATGAACCTGGGTCAACGACCAAACCAGCCAAGGTAATAATAGTGGGGATGACCCCAAGAAAATTAATTACACATCATTGGGCGAGTTTCTGTCCAACTCGAGCAGCTAAAACTCTCTATTGTATGATTTACCGTATTCGCCATTGACCTAAAAGGAATCTGTATCTTATGTAGGCCGTCAGTCAGGCCTGATGTGCATGTACTCAACAAGGTGCGGAAGTTGTGATATAAAAAAAACATAGGAAATTAGGAATGCATAGCTCCTCATCGGTTTACACTAGCTCTTACAAATACCTAGATCACCTAGCCATGGACCCTTTTCTGCGATGTTTATATCACGACTTCCCTATCAGGTTTGAGTAATAATAGGGTTAGGGCTTAAATCCCTGTCACCAAGGGTATATAAACTTTCAACAGTCGCCAATCCCTTCAGTCCCTCACCGCACGCGTGTTACTTGTTAGTCGCTTCTATCCATCGATCAAACGAGCGTCAAACCGAGCGGAGAGCAATCTGAATTCTCCAGTCGTCTGCGAAGACGTGTTTGTGCTATCCTGTATGCCCTGTTCTCTCTTCTGAGGAAACCGAAATTTTCAGGCTGGCTTTATGGGAGCTTCACACACTACGCCGTGTCTTCAGTTGGATATATACTGTCAAAGTAGCTATATTATAAGTGTCCTTACGCATCCATTCACACAAATTGTATCATATCAGAATTCAAAGTCTTTCCGATTGAGTTTATGCAATCACATGTATTTCTAGTCGAAGAGTTCCTGAAATGCTCGGGTTTGGTCCAATTCTAAACTGGACCGCGCACCCCTGTATCCCCGCGACTACATGTAGTATGTATGGCGGGGTTTCGTCAGCTACAGGTACATAGTACAGTTCAGGTTCATCTCAGGACTCACAACTATCTTCAGCCGTTTGTTTCTACCTTTGCGAGTCCTTACCATATAGCCCTTTGATATCACAGCAGCTTCTCAGCGTCTTTGAGCATGTCTCTTTTTAGAAGTAAGTACTGAAAGCTCTCAAGGATGGGATATCGGTTCTCAGCTCTGATTTTACAGAATCCATTTATGCTGCCCAGCCGTCCACTACGCGTGCTACGTCTACACATCTCTCTGTTGATCCAAAGGGTGAACGTCTAGCATATGCCGTATTTTCCCTGAATCTCAAAATACTGTCATCCTATTAACATGGGTTTTAGTCTGGAAAATCTGTCTTTCTCCGCTCAATCGATGATCCTTCAGTCAGCACGCAGTATACAGCTCACACTGCGATCGTTAATGTAGCCCGCTTTTCTCCCAGTGGCTATTATGTTGCTTCTGGAGATGCTTCAGGAATGGTAAGAGTATGGGACTGTGTGGGCGAGGATATGAATACCAAGGGAGAATTCGGTATCATCTCTGGTACTATCAAGGACCTTGCCTGGGATGGAGAAAGCAAGCGGATTATTGCGGTGGGTGACGGTAAAGAACGGTATTTCACCTTGGGTTTTCTATTTAAGCATCAATTTCTAAGCGTAAGGCAGCTTTGGACATTGTATAACCTACGACACTGGTAATTCCGTGGGAGAGATCCTTGGCCATTCATCCATCATTAACTCGGTTTCGATACGCCAGCAACGCCCATACCGAGCTGCTACCGCATCTGATGATAAAACACTCGTTTTTTATCATGGTACGCCATTCAAGTTCAACCAAACGCTCACTGGAAACCACTCCAACTTTGTTCAAGGCGTTGCATTTTCTCCTGATGGCGAACACTTCGTTTCTGTTGGTTCGGACCGTAAGATATTCCTATACGATGGCAAGACTGGAGACTTGAAGTCAGAAGTTTCATATGGTGATGCTGGGCACAAGGGGGGCATCTACTCGGTTTCCTGGAGTAGTGATTCAAAGCGGTTTGTCACTGCATCCGCGGATCAGACAGTCAAGCTGTGGGATGTGGAGCAGTCAAAGAACTCTTTTACTTGGAAGTTCGGGGAAGAGGGAATTCCGAGTATTCCAGACCATCAAGTTGGAGTTGTCTGGACGCCCCGGTCCGACGATACTATAATTTCACTATCTTTGGCAGGAGATTTGAATTATCTTAACTTTTCCGCCCATAAGCCGTACAAAGTAGTTCACGGACATCAAAAGGCCATCACTGCTCTTAAGGTCACAAAAGAGAGCAGGACATTATTTACAGGAAGTTATGATGGAAGAATTTGTAAGTGGGACACAACAGTGGGCGCAGCTGCTGGATTGGATGGGAAAGGCCACGAGAACAACGTCTCGGGCTTTGCGGAGACCCAGACCAGGTCAGTTGTCAGCGTTGGGTGGGATGATCACGCCAGGCAAATCGATGTCGGGGCTGGATGCTTTGTGTAAGCCCTTCAGTTAGGAAGCAATTGAAGTAAGAAGGAAATAACTAACTTTGAACTTAAGTGCAAACGCTCCAACTGAAGGCCAGCCCAAGGGTATCGCAGAACTTGGCCCGAATGGTTCTACAGTTGTGGTTTCAGAAAATACCATTACCGTCTACGGCAAGGACCTCGAAATCATCGCTACACTAGTTCCTAAATACACGCCTACCTGTGTTGGTGCCTCATCTACGTATGAAATTGCGGTTGGCGGGAAGAACAATATCATCCAGGTCTACAGTGTTTCTGGATCTACAATTACAGAATCCAAAAAAATCATGACACGATCCACACCAACATGTCTTTCCTACTCTCCCAACGGCAAATACCTTGCTGCTGGCGATGCCTCAGGTAAAATAACACTACATGATACTACGGATCAAACATATAGTGTTAAGACAACACGCTGGAGTTT